ACCATCGAGTAATGTTCGATACGACGTATTATCTAACCAAAACACAACAAAGTAATAAACACCATCGAGTAGTGTTCGATACGACGTATTATCTAACCAAAACACAACATGGTAATAAACACCATCGAGTAATGTTCGATACGACGTATTATCTAACCAATACACAACATAGTAATAAACACCATCGAGTAATGTTCGATGCGACGTATTATCTAACCAATACACAACATAAAGATAATACGTCGTATACCCTCCTTCATATTTAGCGATTTTCGACATTCGAAGAAAATGTTTTGATAGCTTCGTTGAGATAATTATAGCAGGGATGAAAAATGCAAGACACCAGCCAAGTCCGAACCAGAATCCATTCTGTAATTGAAAATGTCTTTATTAGTTAATAAGAACATGTAAATGAAATAAAAAATACTCTAGAGAAAAAATATATAATTGAATTAACTTTCGGTTTCACACACTTGGTGGGAGACATGTACACAGTGAAGTACAAACACAATATTTTAGTATGAGTTTATTTATTCAAGAATCACCTTCTTTAAACTCGTGCGTTTCCTGTAAAGGATATATCTGATATTTGGAAGAAGTCGCAAATAATCAATAAATATATAACCCCTGTGTGGAAAGATTAGTTCCACATAAACATTGTTATCTGTTACTAGCGAACGTCCACCGTACCATATCTTTCTTTAACTTTTGGCATGCAGGTCTACTGACTACTGACATAAAATGTTTCGGAAATTCACCTCTACTGGCTTGTTTCTTCACGTAACTATTTTCTATATATTATCTAACTTGTACTTCTCCGTGTCTCATACAGTAAAACCGAGTGAATAGGGACAAAACCTACTTCATATTTAATGTTATATGAACATGAACTATAGGGGGAATTATGACAGTGTTTACATGATATTAGCTTTAGTGTTTAAGCTTTCGGAGAAGAACAAATTACCTTCATATACAATACAGATTATCATATTTCGTATCTATATTACAGTTTTAAACCTGTCTACTTCCTTGTCAAAACCTTTGATGTCTGTTAGATGTGTCCCGTCATTATTGTTAAATATGTGAGATAACGTATCTGAACCTTGTAAACTTTGTGGCTTTCATTTCGATTTTCACTGGTACACATTTGGTATCTGTTTTACAGATCTCTAGTATTTCCATCTGCTTTAATTTTGCCACCAAATGGACAGTCCAAAACAATATACATAGTAAAATGCAGACATGTAGTAAATAGCAGCCATAAAATTACTATTACGTAAAACCTACCCGAAACAGGGGATTAATACTATGACGATATTTGGTAATGAATGGAGGAAAGATGAGCTACTTATTATAAAGATAGCTGACAGCAACACTTATTAAAGGCACCAGTTAGTTCGGGGTTGCATACGTAGAATATCGGGACACATACCATAGGCTCATTGGAAGCACTGCGTTTCTTATGTAGAAGAAGAAACATTTATCACAGGTTCAACTAAAGATCTTTGTTACATAGTTCGAAAATCGGAACACTTACTAGGTTAGCTCTGTATTCTCTAGGCAGAAGAAACAAGCGCTTACCACGGGTTCTATGGTAGCTAGGTTACATAGGCAGAAGAAACAAGTACTTACCACGGGCTCCATTATAGCTAGGTTAAACAGGCAGAAGAAACAAGCAATTACCACGGGTTCCATTATAGCTAGGTTACTCAGACAGAAGAAACAAGTATTTACCACGAGCTCCATTATAGCTAGGTTAAACAGGCAGAAGAAACAAACAATTACCACAGGTTCAATAGTAGCTAGGTTACATAGAAAAAAAAAACAATTACCACAGGTTCAATAGTAGTTGGTTACATAGAAAAAAAAACAAGTACTACCCACAGGCTCCATTGTAGTTAGGTTACACAAGCAGAAAAAACAAGCAATTACCATGAGTTCTGTGTTATCTAGAATACATAGGCAGAAGAAAGAAGCACTTACCACTGGTTCTATTGTAGCTAGGTTCATAGGCAAAAGAAACAAGCTCTTACCACTGACTTCAAGGTAGCTAGGTTACACAGGCAGAGGAAACAAGCATTTAACGCAGGTTCTATGGTAGCTAGGTTAAATAGGCAAAAGAAACAAGCACTTATAACAGGTTCTATGGTAGCTACGTTACATAAGCAGAAGGAATAAGAACTTACCACGGGCTCCATTGTAGCTAGGTTACACAGGCAGAAGAAAGAAGCACTTACCATAAGCTTTATTGTAGCTAGGTTACACAGACACAAGAAAAAAAGCACTTACTACAGTCTCTATTGTTGCTAGGTTAAATAGGCAAAAGAAACAAGCACTTATAACAGGTTCTATGGTAGCTACGTTACATAAGCAGAAGGAACAAGAACTAACCACGGGCTCCATTGTAGCTAGGTTATACAGGCAGAAGAAACAAGCACTTATAACGGGTTCTATGGTAGCTAGGTTACACAGGCAGAAGAAAGAAGCACTTACCATGGGCTTTATTGTAGCTAGGTTACATAGGCAGAAGAAACAAACAATTACACGGGTTTTATTGCGGCTAGCTTACACAGGCAGAAAAAACAAGCACTTACAACTGGTTCTATGGTAGATAGGTCACAGACGCAGAAGAAACAAGCACTTACCACGGGTTCCATGGTAGCTGGGTTACAGACGCAGAAGAAACAAGTACTTACCACGGGTTCTATGGTAGCTGGGTTACATAGGCAGAACAAACAAACAATTACCACATACCACGAGTTCTATGATATCTAGGTTACATAGGCAGAAGAAACAAGCACTTACCACAGGTTCTATGGTAGCTAGATTACATAGGCAGAAAAAATAAACCATTACCACGGGTTTTATTGTAGCTAGGTCACACAGGCAAATAAGACACGCAATCACCACAGGTTCTATTGCAGCTAGGTTATACAGGCAGAAGAAACATGCATTTACCACGGACTCTAGTGTAGCTAGGTTAAATAGGCAGAAGAAACAAGCAATTACCGCGGGTTCTTTGATAGCTAGGTTACATAGGCAGAAGAAAGAGGCACTTACCACGGGTTCAATGGTAGCAATCACCACAGGTTTTATTGTACCTAGGTTACACAGGCAGAAGAAACAGGTTATATGGTAGCTAGATTACATAGGCAGAAGAAAGAATGAAGCACGTTTCACGGGCACTATTGTAGCTAGGTTACACAGGCAGAAGAAATGAGCAATTACCGCGGGTTTTATGGCAGATATGTTACACAAGCAGAAAAAACAAGTACTTCCCCAGGGCTTTATTGTAGCTAGGTTTTAGACGCAGAAAAACAAGCAATTACTACGACCTCTATAGTGGCTAGGTTACACAGGCAGAAGAGACAAACAGTTAGTACGGGATCCATTATAGCTAGGTTACACAAGCAGAAGAAATAAGCAATTACCACAGGTTCTATGGTATCTAAATTACATAGGCAGAAGAAAGAAGCACTTACCACAGGTTCAATGGTAGCAAGGTTACTCAGGAAGAAGAAGAAACGAGCAATTACCACGGGTTCTATGGCAGATAGGTTACACTGGCAGAAGAAACAAGCACTTACCACGAGATCCATTATAGCTAGGTTACACGGGCAGAAGGAACAAGCAATTACCACAGGTTCTATGGTAGCTAGATTACATTGGCAGAAGAAAGAAGAACTTACCAAGGGTTCAATGGTAGCAAGGTCACTCAGGAAGAAGAAACGAGCAATTACCACAGATTCTATAGCAGCTAGGCTACATAAGCAGAAGAAACAAGCAATCACCACGGGTTTTATGGCAGATAGGTTAAACAGGCAGAAGAAACAAGCACTTCCTACGGGCTGTATTGTAGCTAGATTACACAGGCAGAAGAAACAAGCACTTCCCACGGGCTCTATTGTAGCAAGATTACATAGGCAGAAGAAAAAAAGCACTTACCAAGGGCTCAATGGTATCAGGGTTACTCAGGAAGAAGAAACGGGCAATTACCGCGGGTTTTGTGGCATATAGGTTACACAGGCAGAAGAAACAAGCACTTTCGAAGGGCTCTATTGTAGCTAGGTTACACAGGCAGAAGAAAAAAGCAATTAGAACGAGTTCTATGGAAGATAGGTTACATAGGCTGAAGTAACAAGCACTTACCACGTGCTCTCTTGTAGCTGGGTTATAGAGGCAGAAGAAACAATCAATTACCACGGGGTCCATTTTAGCTATGTTACACAGGCAGAAGAAACAAGCAATTTCCACTACCTCTATGGTAGCTAGATAACAGAGGTGGAAAAAAAGCAATTACCACGACATCTATGGTAGTTAGGTTACAAAGGCAGAAGAAACAAGCAATTACCACGGGTTCTATGGTAGCTAGGTTACATAGGCAGAAGAAACAAGCACTTTACATGTGCTCCATTGTAGCTAAGTTACACAGGCAAAAGAAACAAGCACATACCACGGGATCAATGATAGCTACGTTACATAGGCAGAAGAAACAAACATTTATCACGGGTTGTATGGTAGCTAGGGTACAGAGGCAGAAGAAACAAGCACTTACCACGGGTTCTATGGTAGCTAGGTTACATAGGCAGAAGAAACAAGCACTTTACATGTGCTCCATTGTAGCTAAGTTACACAGGCAAAAGAAATAAGCACTTACCACGGGATCAATGATAGCTAGGTTACACAGGCAGAAGAAACAAGCACGTACCACTGACACTATGGTATCTAGGTTACATAGGGAGAAGAAACAAGCACTTACCACAGGCTCTATTGTAGTTCTGTTACATACATAGAAAAAACAAACACTTACCACGGACTCTATGGTAGCTAGAATACATACGTAGAAGATTTGAACGATTACCACGGTCTCTGTGGCAATTGGATTACCTACGTCGGAGATTGGAATTAATTACCACTGTCT